AGTTCTTCAGGCACTCTCTCTATCAGATCTAATCCCTTGAATCTATTTCTCATTTCCACTGTATAACTGTAAGGTATCTGATTTATGTCATACCTGTATGGTCTAGTGGTTTTCCCTACTTTCCTCAATTTAAGTCTGAATTTTGCAATAAGTAGTTTATGATCTGAGCTACAGTCAGCTCCTGGTCTTGTTTTTGCTGACTGTATAGAGCTTCTCCATCTTTGGCTGCAAAGAATATAATCAATCCAATTTCGGTATTGACCATCTGGTGATATCCATGTGTAGAGTCTTCCCTTGTGTTGTTGGAAGAGGGTGTTTGCTATGACCAGTGTGTTCTCTTGGCAAAACTCTATTAGCCTTTGCCCTGCTTCATTCTGTACTCCAAGGCCAAATTTGCCTGTTATTCCAGGTGTTTCTTGATTTCCAACTTTTGCATTCCAGTCCCCTATGATGAAAAGGACATCTTTTATGGGTGTTAGCTCTAGAAGGTCTTGTAGGTCTTCACAGAACCGTTCAACTTCAGCTTCTTCAGCATTACGGTTTGGGGAAAGTCTTGGCATTCTGTGGTATTGATTGGTTTGCCTCGGAAACGAACAGAGATCATTATAACTCAATGAAACTAAGCCATGCCGTGTGGGGCCACCCAAGATGGTCGGGTCATGGTGGAGAGGTCTGACAGAATGTGGTTCACTGGAGAAGGGGATGGCAAACCTCTTCAGTATTCTTGCCTTGAGAACCCCATGAACTGTATGAAGAGGCAAAAAGATAGGACACTGAAAGATGAACTCCCCAGGTCGGTAGGTGCCCAATACTACTGGAGATCAGTGGAGAAATAACTCCAGAAAGAACGAAGGGATGGAGCCAAAGCAAAAATAACACTCAGTTGTAGACATGACTGGTGATGGAAGTAAAAGTCCTATTCTGTAAAGAACAATATGGCATAGGTGTTGTGGCCAGCACAGTGGGTAGGGCTCAAAAGTGGCTGACGCAGCATTTGGGAAAAAGAAATTAGAGACAGAACTAAAGTTTTAAAGATGGGGCTGGGAGACTCAAGACCTCTTGGGCCAAGAGTCCTGTTCCTTGGAGCCACATCACTTTTATTGAGTGTCTTGGCAAGCAGAAAGGATCTGTTGTGCCATGATGAAGTCAGCCTCCTGTGTCCCCGGTCACGTCTCCCATTTTATTGATTACTTTAAACTATCTCTATTATTTTCTTGTACAAGGGCTATCACCAAGCTGGAGGTCATAGACCCACATATGCCTTGGGAAAACATCTTAGTGTGTGCACAAGCTGCGTTCTGAACTTGCGCTGACCCGGCGTTCCAAGGTCCACACTATGTTTTTCCTTAGCTTAGCAGGGCATGACAACCCCAACTGATCAACCTGATGTACTTTCATTTGTGTTATGCTGTATTGCTATATTTTGCTTTTATTCTTTTCCAATGGTGATTTTCCCATGGCTTAGCCAGAGCAACAGGTGGCTGACTATTAACCCCTGCACATAGGAACCTGGAATGTTAGGTCCATGAATCAAGGCAAATTGGAAGTGATCAAACAGGAGATGGCAAGAGTGAACATCGACATTTTAGGAATCAGCGAACTAAAATGGCACTGATATGACACTGAAAGATGAACTTCCCAGGTCGGTAGATGCCCAGTATGCTACTCCTCTGAGCTACAGGAAGAGTATAGGCTGGAGTAATCTGCCTTCCCAACCCACTTTAGACTAAACAATGCCATTCGGCCAGGGTTTCTGAACTCCAGTGCTACTGACAATCTGGGCTGGATAATCGTTGTTGGAGGGGTTGTCCTGTGAGTCCTAGGATGCTGAGTAGCTTCTGTCCACCAGATACCAGTGGACATATCCACGCCACCCCACCTCCCCTGACCTGTAACTGCCAGAAATGTCTTTAGACATTGTCAGTGTCCCCCGAAGGGCAAAACCACCCCTGGTTGTGATACACAAAGAAAATGTTCCACAAATGTTAAGTAACACATGTGGTCCATGCTCTTTAGACCAGAAAGAGCCCTACCTTTAACAGAGGGCCTCCTGGAGGGTTCATAGGCACGGCAATCATCAATGATCTCCTGCAACTGTGAAGGGCAATCTTCACCCACTGGCTCTCGGTGCCGGGACTCAGCCACCAGCTGGTAGATCTTCTTGGAATCACAACCTGGTGTGGAAATGATATGACGGGAGGCTTAAAGGTTGCTCTGGCACCCACACATCCCTCTGGATGCTGCCGGCTGGCATCAGAACTAGGGACTCTGAGAACTGGAGACACAGGAGCTTCCAGTGACCCCACTGACCAGCGCAGGCAGTGCCCACATTGAAGAAGAAAGCGTCCAGAACAGCACTGCTGTGTAACTCTAGTCTCCCATCTGAGTCAGCTTTCACACTGGTTACCTTCAAATGGGCTCTTCCCAGTGGCGATCTCCCAGAGAACAATTCCAAAGCTAAAAGAGAAGCAGGAAAATGAGCAGTGATAACAAGTTTCCTTTTTTCCGTGCCCCTGGAGCCATTTCCAGAAAACACAGAGAATTTTCTTTTCTTTTTTTTTTTGCACTGTGTAGCTTGTAGGATCTCAGTCTCCCCAACCAGGGATTAAACCCAGGCCATGACGTGGGAGTGCTGAATCCTGACTACTAGCCCACCAGGAACTCCCCACAGTGAACTTTCTCATTACCATCAATTACATTCCACAAATGCTCCTCCCTAACAGCATTTGATTGGGACTTTCTTGTCAGGTTCATCTGAGAACTGGCATGAGAACATGAACATACCTGTATATTTCAGCTTTTATGTCGTATTTACTATACACATTTTCCAATCTCTGAGGGGAGATGTACGCAGCAGAATTGACTCTCTCCACTTCTTTTCCCCCAGTTTGTCGGCTGATGGAAGTCTGTGTTTTGCTCAACTCAAATCCTGCAAGCTGGAGAGAGAGGCGACTCAGAGGCAGAAGGAAAAGGCATGATCTCGGGTGGGAAGAAGAGGGCAGGGACTGGTGCTACACGTGACCGTCAGCGGATGGTCTTTTTCCTTCGAGATGTTTCCAGTGAGGTCTCCTGGCCGTGCGGCTCCTCTCCCGGGTTCAATCTACTATGGTGCATTGACCGAGAGAAACATAAAGAGGTTTCTCCTCTGTAAAAATGAGACAGTGAGGATTACTTGAAGTGATGGTTGTCAAGCACCTGTAAAACTTGGTATGTTTTTAAAAAATTAATTGACGGATTTTTGGCTGTGCGGGGTCTTTGTTGCTGCGTGTGGACTTTCTCTAGCTGCAAAGAATGGGGCTACTCTCTAGTTGCGGTGCTAATCTCTAATAGCGGGGGGCTACTCTCTAGTTTCGGGCTTCTCACTGTGGTAGCTTCTCCTGTTGGGAGCACAGGCTCCAGGCGCATGGGCTTCAGGAGTTGCAGCGCGCAGGCTTCAGCAGTTGTGGCTCACCGCCGCATAAGACTTGGCATGCTGTAGTCATTCTAATATTACATTAGATATGTACAGGGCTTCCTCAGTTGATAACCCAACTCCACTGTGTTAGGATGGACAGGGGTGCCTGGAGCTACCAATGGCTCGTTTTCTCTTGGAGGCAGACAAAACAAAACAAAATCGAAGAAACAAAAAACCTCCAACGAAGAAACAAAACACCTCCAACAACACGGGGGATCCTCTCTGTCGTATCTGACCCTACGTGGCCAATGCCACGCTCTTAAAGAAGGCACAGCACAAGTCATGGGAGGCTGTGTTCTTGCTCCGTGTACACCTGTCATCAGCACCATGTGTGCAGAGGGCCGTCTGGGCCAAATGCAGCCAGGCAGCCAAAGCTAGCGGCAAGAATTAGACGCTTATGTGGTCCTCCCTCTTTTAGTCACAAGTTCAGGGAGCGCTGACATCCTCTGACATTGGGCTCCACACTAACCACCGGGGGTGAGGAGCTGAATAGCACATGTTACAGTCACCAAGATGAGCACCAAGAGAGTGGCATAGACACCGTGCTTTGGGAACACTTGCTTATATTACACCAATGGCGGGGAGATCAACCAGTCCATCCTAAAGGAAATCAGTCCTGAATAGTCATTGGAAGGACTGATGCTGAAGCTGAAGCTCCAATACTTTGGCCACCTGATGAGAAGAGCTGACTCACTGGAAAAGACCCTGATGCTGGGAAAGATTGAAGGCAGGAGGAAATGACAGAGGATGAGATGGTTGAATGGTATCACTGACTCAATGGACATGAGTTTGAGCAAGCTCCAGGAGTTGCTGATGGACAGGGAAGCCTTGCGTGCTGCAGTCCTTGGGGTCACAAAGAGTTGGATATGACTGAGTGACTGACCTAAATTGAACTGAGTGGTGGGAAAAGACATCTGAAGGGCAGAAAAGACCTGTCTCTTGATATTCAGAGAAAGCTATCTACAGATGACAAAGAATATATTCTTTTAGCATTTGAAAACTGTGGACATGGGGTTAACAAAACCCTTTCCTCATCCACAGGACAATCTGAATGTCAGTGAAATTTTTAGTTCTATTCCCCTGGGAACCTGTCAAAAATAGACTGCTACTTATGCTCCTAAGTAATATATATTGCTGCTGATTAATAAATGACCAGTGATTAGTAAGTCATTTATGGACGGGAGGTTGGAGCGGTGGGGACTATGAAGAGCTATAGGGATGCTGGGTTATGTGGTGACGCATACCTGGCATGCCCCTTGTGGGGATGCTGGAAGGCATGCCTACGGAGTTGTTATAAAAAAGAACATCGAGGACTTCCCTGGTGGCCCAGTGGATCAGAATCCACAGTGGATAAGAATGCATGGGACACAAGTTTGATGCCTGGTCCAGGAAGATCCCATGTGCTACAGAGCAACTAAGCCCGTGAGCCACAACTACTGAAGCCCGTGTACCCTAGAGCCCGCAGGCTGCAACTACTGCAGCTTGAATGCCTAGGGCCTGTGCTCCACAACATGGAAGCCTCTGCAACGAGAAGCCCTCGCTCGCTGCAACTAGAGAAAGCTCTTGCAAAACAACGAAGACCCAGTGCAGCCATAAATAAATAAAAAATGCAGTGATACCACACACACACACCCAAACTCCTCCAGTTTAAAAAAAAAGAATATTGACTCCTGTGAGTCGTGAGGCTCCTAAGCTTCTCCTGCACCTGCGGAGAGGAGCCTCTTTCTGTTGAACTTGGGGTGAGGGCAAGGAGATTATCTCCTGGAGGATTGTGGGGGCTCCCATTTGGCAGGATTTGATGCCGCCTAGGTGGCATGCTGTTTCCTGCATGATACCCTTCTGATTGCCTCCAGGTGCCACACGCGGGCCACGGCCAGTCTGTGAGTCTAGATGCCTCCTTGGACCTAAGACGACGCCCTTGTGGGTGTTGCAGGGACACCGAAGCGGTGTCCAGGCATCTAAGAGGCGACGGCTCTTAGCCTGCCCCTGCTGGGTGGACGGGAAGAGGGGGGAGACGAGCATCAGAAGGGCAGGGAGGATTGAGTCTGTCTGGTGGCGGGGAGGGGGGGTTGCGGCGCTGTCCAGGCATAGGAAGCGCAGAGCTCAGTTCCACGGCGAAGGCCGAGAAACAAGCAGGCACAGGCTTTCAGGGAAACACGCATGCCTCTCCCAGCACCAAACAGTCACATGGGTCAACTCAGAGGGTGCCCGCAAGGCCACGCTCACCTTCACGCTGTAGTCTTTAGTCACCAGGAAGCTCGTGCTGCTGATGTTCCTGTGGAGTTCTGAGGGTGTTTCCGAATGGTGCAGCCTGACGTGACCAAAGGCAGGGTATGTTAGTGACCTTTGCACAGACTTTCTTTCTTTAAAAAAAAAATTTTTTTATTTATTTCATTTTTGGCTGCGCAGGGTCTCTGTTGCTGTGTGGGCTTTTCTCTAGTGGCGGAGGGTGGAGGCCACTCTCTAGTCGCAGTGCTCCTCTCTAGTTTTGAGCTTCTCATTGCAGTGGCTTCTCTCGTTGCGGAGCACGGTCTCCAGACACATGCGGGCTTCAGTAGTTGCAGCATGTGAGCTCAGCAGTGGCGGTTCCTGGGCTCTAGAACAGAGGCTCGGTAGTTGTGGCCCATGGGCTCAGTAGCTCCGCAGCATGTGGAATCTTCCTGGACCAGGGGTCAAACCCTGGCAGACGGATTCTCTACCACTGAGCCACCAGGGAAGCCCCTGCACAGGCTTTCTTGAAAGGCATGACAGTCACTACCAGGATAACGACGTTGGTCAGTACCAAGCCTTCTTCTTGGGTAGGTATCCACGGGTTAGTGGGAAAACCAGGATGCAGAGGTGAGATCTGACAGCTGTGTGCTGCACGCTTCTGTGGGGCTCTGCCTGGGAAGTGCTGAGCGGAGCAAAGGGCTGAGGCATGGCTGGATGGTTAGGCCATATCTTGGACCCTTCTGCTTGAAACAGAATGGAAAGCTGGGGTTTCCACCAACTCAGTAAGTGGTGGGGACTTCCCAAGTGGCACTAGTGGTAAAGAAACTGCCTAACTTCTTTGGATGAATGGAGTTCCTGCCTCCCATTTTGGACTTCTATTACAGAGTCAGCCTCAGGTTGGATTCTCCCAGAAGCAGATCATGAGCATGGACCGTACAAGTGACTGATTAGGAAGGTGTTTCCAGCAATTAAGCTCTCATGCCACAACTACTGACGCCTGAGCTCTGCAACGAGAGAAACCACCGCAGTGAGAAGCCTGGGCTTCATAACTGGAGAATGGCCCCCACGCTCCACAGCTGGAGAAAGCCTGTGCAGCGACGAAGACCCAGAGCAGCTAGAGATAAATCAGTGAGTGAAACTTTAAAAGAGAAGATAGTCCCAGGAAACCAGTGAGGGAGGTGTGGAAGCAGGGCAGAGCAGGAGGAGAAATCAAGCAAGGGCGTGACTTCAGGTGAAGTTCCAGGCTCAGCCTAATCCCATGGGGACCTCTGGAGCATGACTGACCCTCAGGGTTTGTTCTGCATGAAGCAAAGCAGCTGGACTTCTGTACCCACACCGGGTGTTCAGTGACTATGGGCTGGGGTGAGGGAGGGGAGGAGAGAAACAGGGGCAGGGGCAGGGGCTGTAAAGTTCCTGGGCATTTTCAGCTCTCAGGGCCTAGGCATGCTAGCATCTGTAGATGTTCCTCTATAAATGGCGGTGATGAGCTGTTAGCAAAGTGTGCTGAGTGGTGGGTAAGAGTGCAGATCAGGTAAGAAGGATCAGCGGTCCTCTGGATAGGCACTGATAGTGTCCCCTACAGTCCAAAATTCCTTCTCACAAAACCCACTAGTGTACAAAGTTAAGAAGGAATAAACTGTATGATTTCCAAGAAAGAGCTAAGGAAGTATTCCCCAAAGTATGGGATAAGTGGTATGCAAGGTGATATAGTAAGAAAGGTATTCTTCTTTTAATTCCATTCTTTCTGATTACGTCAAGAAGAAAGTCTCAGTTTAGTGCTGGATGTCTCTGACACTTCTCTAAATCTGCTAAAATCTCCTCTGAGAAAAGAATGCTGGTCTGAATTGCAGATCTTTTGCTAGGCAGAGACATTTAACCAGAATTTAATGACATTGTTTTGGTTTTATTTGTGGTCACCTATTTGTGCTAAGTGATTCTGGTCTCTAATTTATGGTAGTAATAGAAAATGTCCCCTGTTTTTTCCTAACTTATTTAGGTGTTTTTGTTTTTTTTTTTTTTTACAAAGTGAGCTAATTGAAAGGAAAATATTAAATAAATAATATTGGCATTACTGTGAATATGGTAATAACTACATATGTGGTCTGTTAGTGACTGACTTTTGGGGGGCCTTGGGCTAAAGGAACCATAGATTATATGTGAGAGTAGGTAGAGTTGGTGGATAAAATATAGAACATCCAGATGATTTTGAATTTTGAAAAACCAATACTTTTTAAAAAAGAAAGTACTAAAAATGTATAGGGTTTATATGGAATTCTGTATATCTGAAATTTCAGTAAAAGTATATCTGGTGTCATATTTGGAACATACTTACATTGTACTAAAATTGTTTATTGCTTATCTGAAATTCAAGTTTAACTGGACCTCTTGTATCTTTATTTGCTAAATTTGGTGATTTGCTCAAGGAGGCTTCCAGCCTCTTCTCTGCTTGTCTCTGGGTCAAGCGGGAAGGGAGGCAGACTCATCCTCTCCCTCTGGGCGCCCTCTGCCCACGCTGGTACCTGTACAAGCCTCTGGCTGCCCCCAGGGTCAGGATGATGCGCTTGGCCAGGGTGAGGTCCTTTTCCCAATCCAGCAGCTCCCTCAGGGTCCCGAGCTCACAGTACTCCATGACGATGGATAACTGGGGGGGTGTCACTGATGGAAAAGAGCCGATCGCTGTGAAGATGCATCCTGCTCAGAGGTCTCTCTGTAGCCCGTCCCACCCTCTCTCTAAGAGACAGACGTGGCTCTGCTGTGCTTCTCCATCCCCGTTTCACATGGTTTGACTCCTTGAATGAGTCCAGTACCCACAGAGTCCCCGTATCTCTTCTCTGTGGCATTTGGCATGTCAGAACTCTACACTTCCCCTAGTTATTTGAGTAACTGACTCCCTGACTCAACACTACAACCCAAGAGGGCAGGGTCTGCTGTGTCCAGACAGTGCTCACGGGAAGTTGAATGAATATGTTGAGGAGGGGAGCTGAGGCCTCAGGGCAGGAAGCTGAGGCCTCAGGGCAGGGCCATGAGACGTGTAAGAACTGACGTACACAGAGTGAGTCAGTCACCTTGCTGTCACCCAGGAGGATAAATGCTCGTAGAAGTTTTCCTTTAGCTTGGGATTCTGTGCTCCAAAGTCAGGTCACCTGAACCTGTGCAGAAACTTCCAGAGGGGCTAAGAAGGGGCTGCTCTGTGCCCTCTGTAGGCAAAAGCAGCAAAACATAACCAGCAGGAGAGGTCACATTGTGAGAGGAAATGCAGCCACATTAAAAAAAAAAGCAAAAAAGAAAATGAGCCTGACAAATGAAGCTCTTGGTAAAGGGCAGGCTAATTTAGCTTTTAGATTCGTTCTACACTAATGATCAAGGTTAGATTCCTTATTTGGGTCAGTCAGCTTTGCAATGTTTTATTGCAACAAAATACACTCATCACCCAGGTCAGCATGTGAACAAGCATCTCCTTGGTTCCCAGGGAATCAGCAGGAAGAGATGTGGCTGCATTAGTGCAAACCAGCCCTCAGGCTGAAGCCAACTTGAGGCCTCTTCTCCTGAAAGAAGATGGGAACCTGCATCGTGGGATGCGAGAAAATGAATGTCAATAATAAAAGCACCATGCAGATGCCACCCTTTGAGCTGCTGTAGTGAAACAATGCAGGAAAGCACAGAGATATATGACAGACCACAGAGAGCATGCCCAGTCCTAGAGGCACCCTTACCTGCTTCATCAATGCAAATCCCAAACATGCGCAGGATGTTGGGGGAATCAAACTTCTTCATGGTTCTGATTTCATTATTGAAAGTATGCCTCACTATTCTATGAGAATAAAAAGGGAAAACAGGCTTTCAGGATGGGGAGGTCCTTCAGAAAACCATCAGTGTAGTGACTGTCTGTATGCACGGGGCTTGAGGGATCACTGGCCTTCCCCGGTGGCTCAGACGGTAAAGCGCCTGCCCGCAGTGTGGAAGACCCAGGTTCGATCCCTGGGTCGGGAAGATCCCCTGGAGAAGGAAATGGCAACCTGCTCCAGTATTCTTGCCTGGAGAATCCCATGAACTGCGGAGCCTGGTAGGCTACAATCCATGGGGTCACAAAGAGTCGGGCACAACTGAGCGACTTCACTTTCACTTGAGGGATCATCAGCATCTCCCAGGGGTGAGGATAAGACATATACAACCTGTTCTAGAGTCACCTGGTAATTCTTAGTCAACTTAATATATGCATACCCTATGATCCATCAGTTCCTCTCCTAGCAATACAGACCCAAGAAATTCCCATACAGGGCCATAAAGGGACACCTATGGCAGCATTATTTTTGATGGGCAGAAGTTAGAAGCAGGTTGTGTTCCATCACTGGAAAAAGAGGCAAAATGTGGATTTCCACCATGGATAGCAGTCAGAAGGAAACGACTACAAGTACAGTACAAGTTTCACGACGCTGAGTGAGAAGGGTAAGAATAGCAGGCGGCAGACATGTCACACTACCGTCTGTGAACATTTAAAATGCACACATTAAAAAAAAACTGCACACATATAATAACAGCAAACATTTTGCAAGAACACATACAAACAAAATAATTTATCGTCTGTGAAAGGGATGGGAAAGCAAGCAACAGGAATGAAAGAGAATCTGCCTTTAAAAATATCTAAATACATGAATAAACAAGAGACATTTCTAGAGTTGACTTTGGAAGACATACCTTCAAGTCTAGACTGTGTTCCTTAATAACAGAGAGCAAATATTTAACCCTCTGGGATCTGAGTTCCCCCTATCAAAACATGGAGACAGTCTGCCCCTCTCCTTGAGGAGTTACAGACAGGAAGTAACTAGGGGACAGAACCATACAAAACAACTCACCCAATGCCTTGGGCCTGGGAGTTGTTGAATACTTTTATGGCCACTGGAGATTCGTGGTATTTTCCTTCATAAAGTGTGCTGGATTCATTTTCCTTTAGTAGGATCCAATCGGCTTCTGGAAGCTCCTCCTTCTTAATCTCCTTGATTTGATCTTGTGGGAACCCCTTCTTGGGTTTCTGTGAATCCGACCTCATCCCTAGGACAGGAGGTAATAAAGAGTCAATAGCTGAGGAGGGTGTGTTATGAGGGAAGAGGCATCTTAGCAACGCTTGAGGGGGAAGCCCCACCTAGTGAACCAAAGCTGGGTCTGCCTGGAGCTTCTCTCTCCTCTCGGAAGAGAGGTCCCAGTGCCTCTGAGTGATCGGTAGAGACACAGCTGATGGTAACAGAAATGTCTCACATACTTCTCTCCCCTCTTCTTCGGGTCCTGCCTTCTCCAGCCTACGCCCCATCTCAATCCATTTCTCTCATCTCCTCCTACTGCACAACAGCTTGGCGCCTGGGCGTTGGCACCTTGTCTAGTGAGTTCAGTCCTAACAGGCAGGTACACAGTTTAAGCTCAGTAACCCCACTGTTATGCGTCTTTCCTCTCCCTTACTCTGTGCCATGGCTGGAAACTCGGAGAAGGCAGTCTTTCTCTCTATCTTAGTTTCCTCTACACATAGGCTCTAGCATAAAGCAGAGACTCACAGATGTGTAGAATGGATAAGCATTTTTAATTTGATTTGAATTTCTTTTTTTTTTAATTTTTAAAAACTTTTAATTTCATATTCAGGTATAGCTGATTAGCAAACAATGTTGTGATAGTTTCACGGGTACAACAGAGGGACTCAGTCATACATATACACGTATCGGATTTTGAATTTCTTCTTGGAAATTTCAGCAAATGAGTCGAAGCTTTGATGCTATCTAGAGAAAGTCATCAGGGGACTTCCCTCGAAGTCCAGTGGTTATGATTCTGAGCTTCTACTGCAGAAGGCATGGGTTCAATTCCTGGTCAGGGAACTAAGATCCCACAAGCCACAAGGGGAAAAAAAAAAAGACAGAGAGAGGAAGTTGTCAGCACTTTGACAGGTGCTGGAAGATATCTTTCTGGTCAAGAAACCCTCTTCAAACACAACCCCATGCACAAAAGCCTGGGCCAGCCATGAACACATCCCCAAAACCTGTGGGCTGCTTGCAGCCATCCAGCCCAGAAAAAGGACCAGAGTGGGGTGGGGGAGCCTGAAGTTCCTAACAAACTCAGGACTTCTAGTCTGGGGCAGCCAGAAGCAGCAGGGCACATGACAACTCACAGCTCCTCACAGCTTCAATGGTTTCCTTCATGTTGTCCAGTTGCCTCAATAAAGATTTTACAGTTTCTTTCTCTGCAAGAAAAACAGCAGCAAACACTCAAAAACAGAAACGCTCAGTAAAAGCACACTGAGATACCCCTTTCTCATCTCTCATGTTCGCTACAGTAGGAACGATTACTGTTCACAAATATCTGGCTCTCCACTTCTAAGCAGACAGGAAGTGCCCTGATGCATGACTGCTTGCCTTGCTTTGGCCAAAAAATGAAGTGAAAGAACTTTTCAGGGAAGTCTGTGTCAACAAGAAAGTGCCACAATACTGAAACATCCGGGAGGATGACAGCTACCTGAGCGTCTCCTGGACTTTCTCTGAATGAGAAAAAGATATTTCCTTCTCTAAGACACTGAGGTTTTTTTTTTGAACCACGGTATAATCAAATCTATCCTGACTTATATATTCAGAAACATGTTAAAAATGTATCCTATACTAGATAGGGTGACCAACCATCCTAGTTTTCTCAGGACTGAGGAGCTCTGAGGATAGGAGACCTTCAGTGCTCAAACCAGGAAAATCTCTTCAGACTAACACATACATGGTTCGTAGCCATAATATTTCTATAACCTATGTGGAAGTTAATCTGGCAACCTGTATCAAAGTTTTTAAATGTCCATACTTTCTGATCTAGCAATTAGACTCAATAACTCAACTTCAAGGAATTTTCCGTAAGGAGATCCTGAAATACAAACAAAAAGACTCACTATAGAACTATTAACAATAGCGGAAAACTGGACACAATTTAAATGTCCATCAGTAGAGAGCTCCTTGAATATATCTGGTCCCTATAAACCAAGGAATACTAGACAACTCTATGGGTATTTATATGGAAGAATATTTAATGAGCTTATTTGATGAGAAAAACAAGGAGAACAGAGCGTCTTTCCTCTCCCTTACTCTGTGCCATGGCTGGGAACTCGGAGAAGGCAGTCTTTCTCTCTATCTTAGTTTCCTCTACACATAGGCTCTAGCATAAAGCAGAGACTCACAGATGTGTAGAATGGATAAGCATTTTTAATTTGATTTGAATTTCTTTTTTTTTAATTTTTAAAAACTTTTAATTTCATATTCAGGTATAGCTGATTAGCAAACAATGTTGTGATAGTTTCACGGGTACAACAGAGGGACTCAGTCATACATATACACGTATCGGATTTTGAATTTCTTCTTGGAAATTTCAGCAAATGAGTCGAAGCTTTGATGCTATCTAGAGAAAGTCATCAGGGGACTTCCCTCGAAGTCCAGTGGTTATGATTCTGAGCTTCTACTGCAGAAGGCATGGGTTCAATTCCTGGTCAGGGAACTAAGATCCCACAAGCCACAAGGGGAAAAAAAAAAAGACAGAGAGAGGAAGTTGTCAGCACTTTGACAGGTGCTGGAAGATATCTTTCTGGTCAAGAAACCCTCTTCAAACACAACCCCATGCACAAAAGCCTGGGCCAGCCATGAACACATCCCCAAAACCTGTGGGCTGCTTGCAGCCATCCAGCCCAGAAAAAGGACCAGAGTGGGGTGGGGGAGCCTGAAGTTCCTAACAAACTCAGGACTTCTAGTCTGGGGCAGCCAGAAGCAGCAGGGCACATGACAACTCACAGCTCCTCACAGCTTCAATGGTTTCCTTCATGTTGTCCAGTTGCCTCAATAAAGATTTTACAGTTTCTTTCTCTGCAAGAAAAACAGCAGCAAACACTCAAAAACAGAAACGCTCAGTAAAAGCACACTGAGATACCCCTTTCTCATCTCTCATGTTCGCTACAGTAGGAACGATTACTGTTCACAAATATCTGGCTCTCCACTTCTAAGCAGACAGGAAGTGCCCTGATGCATGACTGCTTGCCTTGCTTTGGCCAAAAAATGAAGTGAAAGAACTTTTCAGGGAAGTCTGTGTCAACAAGAAAGTGCCACAATACTGAAACATCCGGGAGGATGACAGCTACCTGAGCGTCTCCTGGACTTTCTCTGAATGAGAAAAAGATATTTCCTTCTCTAAGACACTGAGGTTTTTTTTTTGAACCACGGTATAATCAAATCTATCCTGACTTATATATTCAGAAACATGTTAAAAATGTATCCTATACTAGATAGGGTGACCAACCATCCTAGTTTTCTCAGGACTGAGGAGCTCTGAGGATAGGAGACCTTCAGTGCTCAAACCAGGAAAATCTCTTCAGACTAACACATACATGGTTCGTAGCCATAATATTTCTATAACCTATGTGGAAGTTAATCTGGCAACCTGTATCAAAGTTTTTAAATGTCCATACTTTCTGATCTAGCAATTAGACTCAATAACTCAACTTCAAGGAATTTTCCGTAAGGAGATCCTGAAATACAAACAAAAAGACTCACTATAGAACTATTAACAATAGTGGAAAACTGGACACAATTTAAATGTCCATCAATAGAGAGCTCCTTGAATATATCTGGTCCCTATAAACCAAGGAATACTAGACAACTCTATGGGTATTTATATGGAAGAATATTTAATGAGCTTATTTGATGAGAAAAACAAGGAGAACAGTGTACTTAATATGCTATTGATTGTACAACAACAAGAAAGAAAATATATACTTGACTCTCTAAAAGGCTATTCAAGAAACTGGTAGGAGAGCATGTGTCTGGGAATGGAACTTTGCTGCCAAGGGTGAGAGGCAGATTTCCACCTCATGCGGGGTCCTTTTTGTGCCTTCTGAATTTTGTCCTATGTGAAAGTATTACTGAGTCAAAATGTTTTCACACAATTGCAGGAAGTATAGCCTTTCCTCCAAGTTGATGACACCGAGGTGCCTCCTTCTACCAGAAAGTAGACCAATGAACGCTAAAGATGAGGAAGGCCAGGGACCAACCCTGCTCTTCGGCAGGATCAGCTGCTGCGATGCGTTCAACCTCATTTCAACCCAATTCCTGACTCCAGTTTTCCTCAGTGGTAGGTGTTTGGTTGAGGGAATTAAAAATGCCTCACTCTTCCTCATGAAAAAAACAAGCAAACAAAAAACCGTTTGCCTACAGGTCTCTTCCGTATCCAGTTTGTGATGCTGGAGATGCCGGCGCACCTGACTGAGGAGGCACCACCTTCCACATCAAGGGGGAGAACGGTTATCCCTCTGAGTTCCAGTGCCCAGAAGGTTCATTGAAACTCTCCCCTTAACTCCTCTCCCTCCACCCACACCCCTAATAAGAGGGAGGGATCTGGAATTAACATCACCACGATCTGCAAAAGTGTAAAGTCATATCTGTGTCCATCGTTCCCTCTCCAGCCCAGCCCGTGTCTCATCCCCTTGGAGCCCTGCCCTCCGCTCAGTCCGGCCCGGGCCACTCTGACCCAGGCCCGTGCCACGTGAGCACAGCCTCTGACGTGGTCTCCTGACGGCACTCGCACCTCCACTCTTGCCCCAGGTCTTCGGAGTTACTGGCCCCAAGCCTTCACTCCCATGTCGTCACATCACACATCCACACTCTGGCTGTAGCCTCATGGCAGGCACCCCACTCCACTCAGATGTCTGGAATTCTAAGTCTCATCGACAGATACCTGCCAAAACCTCTTCAACCTTCCTGATTTTCCAGTAAACCAAAATGAGGCTAATACACCTGCATGTGCATCCCCCCACCTGAAAAAAATCCTCACCACTCAGTCCTTGGAGAGCTTTCCTGTCCTCCTCTGCATCCTGTTGATCTTCCTGTTGCCAGGACGCTCCTGGGCTGAGGCTTGAAGTGTGCCTCCACTGATCCACCTGGAGCAGCAGAGAGAGCTCCTCCCAGACATTGCTCAGCCTCTGGTTCACCCCACCAAAGACTATGCTGTCATGCCCCGCGGTTAGAAACTTCTGGATATTGGACTTATTGCTGAACTTGTCTATCCGCTCCTTAGCTTCCTCTAGGGCAGCCTGGAAACGGCTCAGCGCAGCGGTGATCTGGGAGGGCAGGTTCCTCTCTCCGTGGTCCTGGAGCATTTGCAGGGGCTGCAGCAGGCCCTGGACGCGGTCCCCTAGACGTCGGCACTGTTTCCGGCAGTATTGCATCTCCCCACACTGGTTGTAGATAAGCTGGCCTAAGGAGATGATCTGCTTCAACTGATCCATACCTGGAAGAAACTGATGGGATCTGTGTAAGTCCTGGGACCCTCTTTCATATTTACTACTGGGATAAGGGAACGTCAAGGGTGTCTGTGATTTAAATGGCTGAAGAGGTCTTCCTATTGCTTTCATGTAAGGTAGAGATGGCTTGCGTCCACCAAAAGCTTCCAGTTTTAGCTGGGAAGTACTGGCTTTGCCAGGGGCTTCCCCAGTGGCTCCGCAGTAAAGAATCTACCTGCAATGCAGGAGATGTGGCAGGAGCTGTGGGTTCGATCCCTGGGTCGGGAAGATCCCCTGGAGGAGGAAATGGCAACCACTCCAGTATTCTTGCCTGGAAAATCCCATGGATGGAGGAGCCTGGCAGGCTGCAGTCCACAGGGTCACAAAGAATCCAATATGACTTAGTGAATAAACAACAAATTGGCTCAGCTAGGAGTACATCTCCCAAACTTTCCTGCAGCTTGATGGGGCCATATGACTATTTCTCACCGAAGGGGTATGAGCAATAAAGTGTTACTAGGGGTTTGAGTCAGGTTTGTCTCCTCCACCCACTGTCAGCTGGTAGTATAGGAGGATGTAGCCCTGAGTGTGGTGGAGCTCCGGAATGAAGAATCCTGGATCCCTGAAGCATCGCTTGGAGGAGAGCTGCTCATAAACCTGGAATGACTGTCATGGACTGCTAAGTGAGCAAGGAATAAACTGCTATTGCATTTGAATCATTACATTTTGGGGTCAGTTTGTTAAAGCAGGTCAGCCTATTCTGACAAGCATATCCTGCCAAAGTATAGGAGTGATCACAGGACAGTGGGTTGAAATGCTCAGATCTTGTCTAAAGAAGGTAAGGATTACCTAGTAAAGTCAACAGCTGCTGCTCTTCAAGGATAAAGGGCCCAGTGGTAGAAGATCTTCTAGTTTTTAGAGAGCAGTTAGAAATCTGGATTTTTAATCTCTCAATTTAAAATCCTGCAACCAAGTCAAAAAATGTTTTAAAAACTATGCAGTCCAAGACTGTATTGGTCAAATAAACTTTGGTGGCCAACTGAAGATTGCCTTTGAAGCCTCAGTTTACAACCTTGGCCACAGCCAGCTGAGGACATCAGGACTGTAATAGAAGCTGGCTTCTGTTAATCTCAAACTTTTCTTTCTGTCTCTTTCTTCAATGCTTGAGCATGCCTGCCTCCGTGGTCCACACCTTCTTCCCTCTCTATTGTGTTTTTAGCACTCTGTAAATTTGCTTCACCCTCTCCACTGGCCGATGCATCAGTAAGACTTCTTGTTATAAGTGCTGGTCCCTCCGAGGCATTTGCATAAAGACTAAGAAATTTTCCAGGCTCAGAAGAGTTGCGGTAGACATTCGTGTTGCCTACACAGTATCCATTTCTCTGCTTCCTAATGCTCTGTGTGTGCTCAGTTATGTCCTACTCTGAGGCCCCATGGACTGTAGCCCACTAGGCTTCTCTGTCCATGGGATTTTCTAGGCAAGAATGCTGGAGTGGGTTGCCATCTCCTACTGCAGGGGATCTTCCCAACACAGGGGTGGAACCTGCATCGCTTGCCTCTCCTGCGTTGGCAGGCGGATTCCATACCACTAGTGCCACTTGGACTACCTTCACATTTTCTGTGACAATCTGTTCCTCCTTCAATCAGCAATCTGTTTGTGGGGCTCTGGTCCTATCCCTGGTTCTAAGGGTGAGGCTTGATGTCTCTAAGCCAGAGGTTCTAAACTAAAGGTGATTTTGCACCACCACCACCACTGGGACTTTTGGTAATATCTGGAGACAGTTTTGGTTGCCACAACTGTGGAGTGGGTGTTCCTGACATCTAGCAGATAGAGGTCAGGATGCTACAATGCATAGGACTGACCCTGCTCCCAACAAAGAACTATCCAGCCCCAAATGTCATTAATGCAGGGGTTGAGAAACCTTGATCTAAGCCATCAGACAATTCCTCATAGCTTATCACAGTGATTGGTTCTAAACTAGGCATCTGGGCTACTTTGAGGGGAATGTTTGCTGGGGAACTTCTTGGCCCCTCTAAGACAGCCCAGGAAGCCAGCTTCTAACTCTCAGTCTTTCTCGGAATATGAATAGAACTCTGATTCTAAAGCTGTGGAACAAGGCTAACCTACAGATGGCAGAATGGAAAGAAAAGAACTCAAGTCCTGATGACAATATTGAGCCACTGGTTTGAATTAATCCTGAGGTCTACCCCGTTACTCAATTACAGGCTTCAAGAACCAATAATTGTCTCTATTGCTTAAGCCAGTTTGAATCATATTTGCTGTACATGCAACCAAAAGCAACTAGGCTCAGTAATGAATGATGCTAACAGCGAGGATCACGAATCGCTCTATTCACCTGGTACAGGCTAAGTGATTTGGAACCAGGAGGTCACAGTGGTTATCTTAATTTCATAGATGAAGATACTAAGTCAGGGACAAGGTTGCATTTAAATAAGTACAGGGCCATGGAAACAGTATCCAAAGCAGTTTTAAACAAAGTTAATCTCAACAGTTCAATGAAACAGGTAGGAGTAGCAGTACTAGTTAGGAGAAAGTAGTTGGCCTGGGACCAAATCTGGCTTAAAGAGGCAGTAAAAAATTAGTAGAAGTGAAACCAAATAAGCAACTAATTGATCCTTTTTGTTGTTATTGTCTTAGCATTACATTGACCTAGGAAGGGAAGCAACAGGTGTTAGGGCATGCCTAAAAAAGATTCAAGTGGTCTCAGGCTACCCAGCTATTCCTAGTTGCTAAGCAGAGAGATTCAAGGCCATTTTTTGGGGACTCCTGGGGGCAGTAAACTTTATGCCTTTCTCTGGTCTACTGGAGACAGAAGCAGATGTGAAAGTGTTGCTCAGGAAAACTTGAGGATTTCAGCTTCATAGCTCCACCCTCCAGTTCTTATTCAAAAAAGCCATATCTCAGTAATAACTAGTCAAAAGATAATGGGGAAAATACCCAACTCATCTTAAGTTAAGCAACTTAAGTTAAGCAACAACTTAAAAGAATTCATTTCACAGGAAAAGTGATGACGTGGTATGAAGAAAACCATGGAAAACAAAGCCTCAAGAAATGGAGAGAACTATTATTTATTTTGGCTGGAGAGATTAAAAATTATAAACCTGGAAATCCTTTTCAAATATAAATCTAATTTAATGCAGTTCCAGTAAAACTCTCAATGGTACATTCTGGTATTGAAACTAAATGATCCTCAAGGTTCATTTGAAACAGGAAATTAGTAGGACTAGTCAGGATTTTTGTAATAAAATAGGGACCCATCTGTCAGATATTAAAATTATAATAACTAAAATTGTTTAGGGCTTATTGAGTATAGGATAAAGATATCAAAAGGATGAAAGGGAATATAAATACATATACTTTTACTCAACAATGTGAATTTCTAGGAATTTGTGCTGGAAAGAAGCTCCTTTGTGTATAGATAGATGGATGCTAAGGATGCGCACTGAGGTGCTATTTATAATATGTAAAACTGCTAACATCCCTAATAAGGATATGTTCATAGGTTCCTTGCAGGAAAACAATGAGGGGTAAAAGTCACTAATTTTAAAAGTGAAAAATCTTAAAATGGTTAGTAACAATATAAATCCATGAAGAATTCTGATGCCATTCCCCCTCTCCTCCAAAAACTGGCATCAAGCATCCTTTTCTGATGAGACTTTTAACAGAGTTACTCCTCTTGTGCCTAAAACGGGCTCTGGAAAAGGAAGGGAGCATTAACCATCAAGACGTGGGATCAGCTCCCGGCATTTCCGCACTGACTGCCCGCGGCGGGGCTGTGCAGGGCAGTGGGCCGGCTTCCGGAGGCCCCTCCACGGCGACCCCCACGCGTCCCCTCCCCTACACCGTCCCCACGTGTCCACTCCCCTACACGGCGGGAGAGGGAGGCCGCACCCTCGGGGCCGAGGAAAAGAAACCAACCGGTCCTGAGTTCCGGGAAACGGGCCTGTGGCTCCCCGCTCACCGCCCCGGATCCCGGCTGCGCCCTGCAGCCCGCGCGCCCCGGGCACCGCGCCCGCCGGGACGACCGCCGGACTCACCCCGCCCTTCCCGGAGCCGTCCAGTCGGTCCGGCGCGCGGTTCCCGGAAAGCACCGCGGCTTCTCGGACGTTCAGCACCCCCGACGCGAAGTCTGCGGCTGGAGACCGGGGGAGGTGCCGCGTCGCGTGTCTTGTGCCCCGCCGGCCGGCAGGCCCGGAACAGACGCCAGCGGCGAGGGGCGGGCGGCCTTCTGCTCGCCGGCCCTGCACGCCGCCCTCCCGGCGGGCCCCGTCGGCCCGTCGGGCGGGGAGTCTGACGCCCTGCTCGGAGCTGTCACGGGGAGCTCAGGCGCCTTGGTTCCCTAGACCTCTTTCCAGGCGCTTCAGGCAGAAGGCTCTCGCTTCCTCCTGGTATTCCGCCCCCGCCCTGTCCACCTCTCCCCCACAGTACCAAAATTTCTCAGCAACTCTTTCGAGCGCTCCTGGTGCCACGTCTTCTGCTTGGGGCTGGGGACTCAGAAAAGAATAAGGTCCCAGAAACTAGTGCAGCGAGCACCCAGTATGGGAAAGATTAGGTGAGAAAAAAAAACAAAAGGATGAAAGGGAATATAAATACATATACTTTTACTCAACAATGTGAATTTCTAGGAATTTGTGCTGGAAAGAAGCTCCTTTGTGTATAGATAGATGGATGCTAAGGATGCGCACTGAGGTGCTATTTATAATATGTAAAACTGCTAACATCCCTAATAAGGATATGTTCATAGGTTCCTTGCAGGAAAACAATGAGGGGTAAAAGTCACAATTTTAAAAGTGAAAAATGTTAAAATGGTTAGTAACAATATAAATCCATGAAGAATTCTGATGCCATTCCCCCTCTCCTCCAAAAACTGGCATCAAGCATCCTTTTCTGATGAGACTTTTAACACAGAGTTATTCCTCTTGTGCCTAAAACGGGCTCTGGAAAAGGAAGGGAGCATTAACCATCAAGACGTGGGATCAGCTCCCGGCATTTCCGCACTGACTGCCCGCGGCGGGGCTGTGCAGGGCAGTGGGCCGGCTTCCGGAGGCCCCTCCACGGCGACCCCCACGCGTCCCCTCCCCTACACCGTCCCCACGTGTCCACTCCCCTACACGGCGGGAGAGGGAGGCCGCACCCTCGGGGCCGAGGAAAAGAAACCAACCGGTCCTGAGTTCCGGGAAACGGGCCTGTGGCTCCCCGCTCACCGCCCCGGATCCCGGCTGCGCCCTGCAGCCCGCGCGCCCCGGGCACCGCGCCCGCCGGGACGACCGCCGGACTCACCCCGCCCTTCCCGGAGCCGTCCAGTCGGTCCGGCGCGCGGTTCCCGGAAAGCACCGCGGCTTCTCGGACGTTCAGCACCCCCGACGCGAAGTCTGCGGCTGGAGACCGGGGGAGGTGCCGCGTCGCGTGTCTTGTGCCCCGCCGGCCGGCAGGCCCGGAACAGACGCCAGCGGCGAGGGGCGGGCGGCCTTCTGCTCGCCGGCCCTGCACGCCGCCCTCCCGGCGGGCCCCGTCGGCCCGTCGGGCGGGGAGTCTGACGCCCTGCTCGGAGCTGTCACGGGGAGCTCAGGCGCCTTGGTTCCCTAGACCTCTTTCCAGGCGCTTCAGGCAGAAGGCTCTCGCTTCCTCCTGGTATTCCGCCCCCGCCCTGTCCACCTCTCCCCCACAGTACCAAAATTTCTCAGCAACTCTTTCGAGCGCTCCTGGTGCCACGTCTTCTGCTTGGGGCTGGGGACTCAGAAAAGAATAAGGTCCCAGAAACTAGTGCAGCGAGCACCCAGTATGGGAAAGATTAGGTGAGAAAAAAAAACAAACCAACCAAAAACAGAACTAGAGAGGAGGTGCTCGTGTCTGCTTCTCGGTGCTTGAAAATATCGAGTGTGGGGGGAAAGAGGCAAGGAAGAGACACACAGGCGGGATGGGCTCAGGAGAGGTGTGGGCGGGTGTGGGCGCGGCGGAAGCCAACTTCTTCCTCCAAGGTCGCCGCAGAGACTTCTGTTGCGGTGTGAGCCGTGGTTTCCGTCCATGGAATTCTCCAGGCAGGAATACTGGAGTGGGTTACCGTTTCCTTCTCCAGGGGATCTTCCCGACCCGGGGATCTTCCCGACCCAGGGATCTTCCCGACCCAGGGATCGAACCCAGGTCTCCCGCCTTGGAGGCAGACACTTTAACCTCTGAGCCACCAGAGAAGCCCTTATTAAGGCTAGATGGGTCCTTAGCTAGGAAGTCTGAGCAATGTCATTCATTAACTCATCAGACTGTTCCCTCCGAAAGGATAGAACTGGATTGTAAGAGAAGACTTTTTGAGTAGGGAAGAGCTGGGTGGAGGATGCCTGGGGTGTTTATTCATTTACATTCTCTTGCTATTGTTCTTCACCTACTGCATTGTCAGTTTTCTTCTTAGGTCAGGTTCCCTGGAAGTCTACGGAAAAGAATCAGGTCCATGTGATTTACTGAAGAAAGCCTCTCAGGATCGAGGGTAGGAGGGGCAGTGGGAGAAAACTAGCTCTGCGAGGATAGCTGGTCTCCGTGGAGACTAGCTTCAGCCAGACTCCATGGAGAAGTCTGGAGGAAGCAGCTGTGGAGCGAAAGCAAGCTCTGCTCTGGAGAGATCAGAAGTTAGGTCACAAGAAGTCTTAACAAATTGAAGAAGACTGAAATCATACCAAAAGATGACCATCCACCGTGGACATCTTTTCTGACCAGAGTGGAATGAAACTAGAAATCAATAGCAGAGGAAAACTGGAAAGCTCATAAATATGTGGATATTAAACAACTCTTGAACAACCATTCTGTCAAAAAAAGAAATCCAAAGAAATTCAGAAAGTACCTGGAAACACAAAACTTAGAAGACGCGACAAAAGCAGTACTAAGAGCATAGCAATACACATATATAAGTTCATCGCAATACATGCCTGCATAAAATAGGGGAGAGGGCCTTCCCTGGTGGCCCAGTGGTGAGAACCTGCCTGCCATGCAGGAGACAACTTCAGTCCCTGGTCTGGAAGGATCTCACATGCCAGGAGGCAACCAAGCCTGCACACAGCCACTGAGCCACGGGCCCTGGAGCCTGTGCTCTGCGAGCAGAGAGGCCACCGCCGAGGAAAGCCGAGACGCCACAGTGAACAGCCCCGCTCACCGCGCTGGGCGCCCCTGGGGGCTCAGCTGGTAAAGAATCCGCCTGCAGTGCGAGAGACCCTGGTTCAATCCCTGGGTCGGGAAGATCCGTTGGAGAAGGGCTAGGCTACCCACTCCAGTGTTCTGGCCTGGAGAATCCCAAGGACTGTCTAGTCCATGGGGTCACAGAGAGTCCAACACAACTAAGCAACTGTCACTTTCACTTTCACTTTCTCACCACAACTGGAGAAAGCCCACACGCAGCGAGGAAGATCCAGGGCAGCCAAAAATTAATTAAGAAAAGGAGAACGATCTCAAACAACCAAACTTTACACTTCAAGGAACCAGAAAAATAAGAACAAACTAAGCCCAAGGCTAGCAGAAGAAAGGAAATAACAAAGAGTAGAAATAAATGACATAGAAAAATAATAGAAAAAACATGAAATGGAGCTACACTAAGGGGAAAAAAGAGAAATTTAAATAAAAAGAATCATCAGTAAAAGACATTACAACTGATATCGCAGAAATAAAAAAGAATCAAAAGACACTGTAATGAGGAATTCCCTGGTGGTCTAGTTTTCACTGCCATGGGCCTGGGTTCGATCCCTGGATGGCAAACTAAAATTCCACAGCACAGACAAAAAAAAAAAAGACACAGAGCGACTCTGATGGACGATCAATTATATGCCAACAGACTGTGTAAACTAGAAGAAACAGGTAAATTCCTAAAATATACAGCCTCTTAGGACTAAATAATGAAGAATAGAAATTCTGAACCTGCTTGCTCAGTTGGTGAAGAATCTGCCTATAATACTGGAGACTCGGGTTGGATCCCTGTGTCAGAAAGATTTCCTGTAGAAGGAAACGGCAACCCACTCCAGTATTCTTGCCTGGAGAATCCCAAGAACAGAGGAGTCTGGTGGGCTACAGTCCATGGCGTCGCAAGAGTTGGGCACAACTTAGCAGCTAAACCACCACCATCATAGTTAATAATGGAGACTGAATCAGTAATTAAAAACCTCCCAACAAAGAAAAGCCCAGGGCCAAATGGCTTCACTCGTGAATTCTACCAAACACTTAAAAATGAATTAATGTCAATCCTACTTAAACTCTAGCAAAATAGTGAAGAAGAAAGAACACTCTGAAGCGCATTTTATAAACTCAGCGTTACCCTGATACCAAAACCAGACAAAGACTTAAGACAATTACAGGCCAGTATCCCTGACGAATATAGATACAACAATGCACAACAAAATAATAACAAATCTAACAACACATTAAAAGGATCATACAGTGCACCCCAATGTTCATCGCAGCACTGTTTATAATAGCCAGGACATGGAAGCAACCCAGATGCCCATCAGCAGACGAATGGATGAGGAAGCAAAGCAAGTGGGATTTATTTATGGGATGCAAGAATGGTAACATATGAAAAATCAGTTAATGTGACACACCACATTAACAGAATAAAGGATAAAAACATATGATTGTCTCAATAGGTGCAGAAAAAGCATTTCACAAAATTCAACACTCTTTAATGATAAAAACTGTCAACAAATTAGGAATAGGAGGAAATTATCTCAGTATAACTAAGGCCGTGTATTATACTCTCAGCTAACATCATACTCAATGCTACAAAACTGAATGCTTTTCCTCCAAGATCAGGAATAAGGCAAGGATGCCAGCCTTCACCACTTGTAATTCTCCCCCATATTCTAATCCTTCCACGTCTATAACTCCTTATTTTTTCAATTGCCTCCTAAATAAACCACTTGCATCTATATTCTTGTTTTAAGATTTGCTTTTTAGGGAACCTTAATGAAGACAGGCTCCCACCTTTATGTTTTCATCAAAACGATATTTTTTCTTCTTTTTCTCATCACTCCTTTCCCCTGGATATAAGATGATAAGGTGTCTCAGATGGAGAGCAGATGACAGTCTTGGCATTTTCCAAATTTCACATTCATCCCATAGCATCCTTAATTGGTAAGTTATTCATTATGCTGTTATTACTTCTCTGTAAAGAAATCTCTATCAATTTTTTGCAGCCATCATATCTTTATAGAAAGTTAGAACTGGAAAGTCTATATATATAGTTCCAGCTTTATCTCAAAAGTAGTAGATGAGATAAAATAATAAGTTACGAGAACAGGTAAGGTGGAAAAGAGATGAAAATTTACAGTCACCGATTCCCAGTCACAAGGGCGCAGAGCCTCATGCTGTCGTCAGGGGGCAGCATAGGCCAGGGGACAGGTGGAAAACCCAAGCCCGAACTGAGATCTGACAGAGACAAAATAAGTGAACAGCTCTGTCCTGTCTGACTTTGCGAACCCATGGACTACAGCCTACCAGGCTCCTCTGCCCCTGGAATTCTCCAGGCAAGAATACTGGGGCAGATAGCCATGCCTTTCTCCAGGAGATCTTCCCAACCCAGGGATCAAACCGGGGTCTCCTGCCTTGCAGGCGGATTCTTTACTGCCTAAACCACCAGGGAAGTGACAGAGACAAGACTAACATTTACTGGGGCCTGTTATGAGATGGGCTTTGTGCTGGGCACAATTAGAAATAGTACAAAGTTCAAAGGCAGAGAAAAAAATCACATGCTCCAAGTTTCAGGCTTTTCCATCACGCTAGACGTGTTGGCATCTTGATAATGTCCCCTTCTGGCTTTAGCATCAAATCTTTGACCCCTCCTTAGGTCTCTTGCACTTGAAGATAAAATTTTTAACTCTAGCAGATGATCACTGAGTAGTGAACCACACTATGAGTGCCAACTGACTTGAGGTTAAGGGCACTTGCTATATTAGTCTCCCCTATAGGGTGGGGCTCATTCTCTTTCTTCCCAAGGCCTTGTGGAAGTTCCTACCCCCCTGGAAAGTTGTAGCAGGCACAGCAGGAAGCTCTGGGAGACTCTGTCTAATATTCACTGAGTGGCCCTTTTCATTAACAGATTGGCTTTCCCACTCCCCAAATCTTATTAGCATGCTACAAACTCACATTTATTTTGGTATTTCTTCCTAGTTCTGTTTCAAGCTCTTTAAAGAAGGCTTTTGTTTGTTTCCTCCAATTAACTTTTTGCTCAAACATGCTCATCTTAGACCTGCCTCCAGTGAACTCCCGTATTTACAACTAGTTGGTTTTCTCCTTTCCCTGGGGAATGATGCCTGGTGGTTGGATTCGCAGCACGTTCTAGGGAATGGAGGTTAGGTTTCTGCTGCTTGGACTGCTCGGGTCCAGCAGCTTGAGGGATGAGTGGCTCAGTCAGGTGGCCCTAACCTTCAGGCTGGGAGCGGGTGTCCCTCCATGGGCCAGAGTCTTGCCAGCATCACCTTGTCTCTGCTTTCATTTTTGCCTCTGCATGCTTGGGCAGGCAAATCCAGAGCCCATCTCTGCCAAACTACTGAATTAGACTCTGAGTGATGAGGACTTGGAAAACAGTAACGAAACCCAGTAAGACAAGGGTTGGTCTGCTTTTTATCATAAATCTACACAAATTGGTCAGTGATCAAGTCAATACTCCTTCCTGCGGGATTGGCCACCCCCCTCCCACCCTTCTGCGCCCCTTGGCCTTGACCAAGTCTGTGAGTTGCCATCAATAAGTAGCACCTCATTTTTGGTAGTTTCTTTTCCAATGTTTTTATTTTTCAAAATATACAATTTATTTACACTTTTATTTCACAATGGTAGTTTGCATATTTATTCCAAAATCTTTAAATAACTCCGCAGTAAACAGTACAAATCACAGGATCGGTCCAACTGCTTCCTTTTAACCTTTACACACATTGAGTTTCAAGTAGTAATGGTTTGTGGGTAAGAAGGAACAAAACTAAGACCAAAAAAAAATTTTTTTTTTTTTTTTTACATAAGCTTGACATGTAGGATTAGAAAGGGCAATCTGAGCAGCTACTTGGTCCAGGGCCCAACTAAGGGTATTTATATAGTTTATAAATAAGACCCTCTTATGGGCATCGAGGGTTTTGGTTACCAGGAAGAAAGGGTGGGAACACACCCGCCGGGCTGAGGCGGGGTTTCTGGGAGATAAGGCACCGTGTCAAGGCTCCTTCTCGGCTCGAGGAGGCACTGGCTGGAAGGGTCCTGAGTGATGCGGGCAGGGGCCCACCTATGCCAAGGGGAGGCTGAGAACGCCTGGGGACGGGAGAGGGTTCCCACGCACGGAGAGGTGTTTAACCTCCTTTGGGGGAAAAGCTTTGTGATTCTGGAGGCCAGGAGAGATGGGAGAGCAGGTTCCTAAAGAGAGGGCTGCCGGCTCCCTCCAGCCTTGAGACCACCTGCACAGAAGGTGAAGGCCAGTGTGTGGACGCTGGAGGTGTCTCTGCCCAAGGCACCTGGTGGTACAGCTGGCGCTGGTCATTGGTAGGGACAGAGGCATCGCCCCAGGATTGGCTGTGGGCCGCGAGAGGCTTCATGCTTTCTCTTCTTCTGAAAGCGCTTCATCCATCTCTGTGTTCTCCAGTCCAGAACTGCTACACCCTCTCCGGGAAGGGAAGGTGGGCCCCACAGACCCCCTCTTCGCTGTGCATGCAGCAGCTCCAGGGCGGCGGGGGCAGCTCCTAGGGAGCCCAAGATGTTAAGACACAGGCCTGGGCCCAGGGGTCAGTTGCCGTCACTCCCCTCAGGGACGTCCCTGCCAGCTAGCTCCTGGAGCAGTCCTGGGGGCTGGGGCTCTGGGCGGGTGCTGGCAGAGAGGCTGGGGTGCTCCAGGGAAGAGCTGGTCCCCGAGGGCTCTTAGGCCACCCAGCAGACGGGGCCTTCCTGTGCCGGGTCAGGAGGGCAGGCTCAGGGTCATCCTTGGTCAGGGTCTCCCCAGGACCCTCCACCGAGCCCGAGGGCTGGACAAAGCCTGCGCTGTCTGGCCAAGCAAACCTTCCTTGCAGGATCTGGGTGGGGTGGACTGGGGTAGCGGCCAAGTTAGGGCTGAGGGCGGGGCGGGGCGAAGTCACTGCGTCTTCAGGTGGGGCTCTTCTGGAGTGAGGGTGTGGAAAAAGTGATCCCAGAGTTTACTGCTGATGCCGAACCCTAGGGCGGGAGACAAACGGGAGAAGGTGAGGCACTCTTGAAGGAGTGGGATCTGTTTGCTCGGAGGGAGCTCAGGCGCGGTGAGCACGTGGGCAAGTTTCAACATCACCCCCAATGACCTTCCCAACTCCCGGGGCCATCCTGGCAGAGGTCAGGAGCAGGGTACCAGTGTGCCTAGGCTCCCAGGGATCCTGTGGCAATAACCCCAAGGCTCATATCTGGACTGCCTTCCTGGGAGAGCCTGGCACTGCCTGCCTCTTCCTCTCTCTCCCCCGCAGTCCAGTCGGCCTCCTTCTCTCTGAAGATGCAAAGTTCATTCCTGCTTCAAGGCTTCAGACCTGTTGCTCCAGGGATGCTGTTTCTCAAGACGTCAGACGCTGGCTTCTCCTAATCTAGGCCTCAGCTCTAATGGTGTCTGTGTAGTGACTCCTTCCTAGACCACTTCAGCTAGCTTTCTGCTGCCCAGCAGGGTAGGCACTAACCCATGTGACTCCTGAGCATTGGAAATGTGGCCCTGGGCTACAGTGGGACTGAATTACTAATTTTATTTAATTTTATTAATAATTAACTTACATTCCAGTGTAAAAACCTAAACTTGGTTTAGTTATTGAAAAACCTATAGGCACACTTGGAGCAATTCATGTATGTGAATCTACTTTTTTGACTGTCGATTTTATAAATTCTAAACATGGATGAAGTATTTCCAGTGGAGATTTAGCCCTTGAATGGAGATGAGCTTGTAAGTGCAAGATACACACCAGATATCAAAGATTTAACAGAAGGAAAGAATGTAAAATCTCTCATTAAAAATCTTTTTAGCCACGCTGCACGGCTCGTGGGATCCCAGTTCGCCAGCCAGGGACTGAACCTTGGCCCACAGCAGTGAGACTGCTGAGTCCTGACCACTGGACCCCCAGGGCATTCCCAATAGTGTTCGATCACACGCTGAAATGATAATATTTTGGTTATATTTGGCCTGACAAAGTACCTTATTTGTATTAACTTCATTGGTTTAGTTTTACTTGTTAATGTGGCTCCTAGAAAATGTGAAATCCCATCTATAACTCAGCCTGCATTTTATTAACGATGTGTGGGACCCCTGCCACTGACATGGTTTCCTGACCGTCGCCTTGCTTTCTTTTCTTGCTGGCTCTTACCACTGCTCTGGAATGATCTTTGCTATTATTGGTTTCCTGGTTTTTCTGTCTCTGCACAGCCCCCTGCTCCAGGGCCTAGGATGGGCGTCCCCGGCTTGCCTTTCTGACTGTGAACCCCCGGAACCAAGGCTGGCCCCGGCTGGAAGCTCGGCGGGGGCTGTCAAATGGGAAACGAGCCGCTGAGGGAGGGGGCGCCGCGGTGGGTCCTCACCCGACTGATGGTGTGCAAAGTGGTGCTTGACGTGGTGGGCCTTCAGGTGGTACAGGTAGGAACCCTTGTGAGGGGAGCCGAAGTGCAGGTAGTAGTGGGTCAGGTCGTAGATGACGTAGCCCATGAGGCTCCCCGCAAACAGGGTGCCCGCCACGGCCGCGGACAGGATGAGCCGTAACAGCAGGTAGAAGAAGCCTATCACCAGGGAGGCCGGCACGGGCGGGAAGACCAGGCGGGAGGTGTCGAAGGGCGCCTGCGGACAGAGGCTCACGCGTCAGGACACGGCCCGGGGCCCCAGGGCCTGCCTGCAGTCACACACGGCAGGCTGGCTGGAGGCGCTCCTTCGGGAGAGGTGCTGGAGTTGCCCAGACGGGCGGCGGCTTGGGGAGGGCAGGCCAGCAAGGCTGAAGGCCTGGAGAGCCTGTCCGGCCCCAGTAAGCCAGGACGGGAGCTGGAAAGCTCCAGGAACAGGGGGTGGGGGTGGGGGTGGCGTGGGCAAGATGCTCGCAGGTCAGAGTATCTTGCTTCAGATGCTCTGCACTCAAGAGGCCACTTTGGCTCTGAAACTTGCTGGGTGTGGACAGGAGCCTCCACCCCACCCCGAGTACCACGCAGGGCCCCTAGCCCGAGGCCTGCGGGTGATGAAGGCACACGGGGTGATCCTGGAGCTCTTAACAGGAAGGACCCCCCCCAGGTGGCCTTCTTTGCCCCAAGGAGGTGCTGTCGCATGGAACCAGACCATGAAAGAGCCCAGCCTTTGGTCCTGAGGCTTCAGAAGCCAAGGGCCTGGCAGAGGCAAAGTTTAGAGGCTGTGCAAGTATTCCGAGACCCTCTCTGGACTGAGAGAGGGGAGAGAGGGACCAGGTGACCGAGACAGGGCACCACTCGGATGTGGGCCCCTGCCCCTCCGCCCGGAGCAACAGGACCTGCGTGGCTCCGGGCCTGAACCGGCTCCTGGTCAAAGCGGAAGGAGGGCAAGGGGGAGGGTGGGAACCCTGCGGCAGGATGAGAACAGCGCGGGGCAGGGCCGTCCTCTGGGCCGACCTGGCCTCCAGTGCCGACTGCTGGGACCCTCGTGTGTCGCCCCGAAGGAGCCCCAGGGTGGGTGGATGACCGACAGCATAGACTGTGGCGTCCACAGGGGACGACATCCTAGGGTGACCTTGGGTGAGTGCCTTAGTCCCTTTATTTCCCCACGCCTCAGTCTGCCACTCTGTGGAACGGGGAGAACGGCAGCACCCACTTCAGAGGGAAGCTCCACAAGGTCAGTGATTCTTGCCTGTTTTGATGGATGGTGTCCAGAACAGCACATGGCCCATAGTGAGCGCTCAGTGAGCATTTGTTGAATGAGCAAATGAATGAGCTGTTGTGAGGATTAGCAGTGGACACGCATGCTCACTCTGTCCACAGCTGGTTCAGGCTTGGACCCAATCACACGCCCTTGACTTCTCCTCGCCCTCAACCCACCCCGCAGCGAGATGGGTGCTCCTGAGGGCGGGCGTCAGCAGCATGGCCTGGGGGGCGCTGCGCCGCTCACCTTGTGGTGCTGGCCGTGCATGGCGAAGTGCAGCATGATGAGGTAAGCGCTGTTGCTGGGCGGCTTCATGTGGAACAGGAAGCGATGGATGAGGTACTCCAGGAGGCTCCAGACGAGCAGCCCCAGCAGGAAGAGGCCTGGGAAGGCAGACTCGGGCATGGCCACTGAGTACCCTGCATTGGGCGCAACAGAGGGAGGTCAGGCTGGAGGCTCCAGAGGTCCAGCCCCGTCACCTTGGGGGCTGCTGCCCTCGGCTCCGCAGCTGTGGGGCCCACCCCCACCACCGGGGCCTGAGAGTCAAAGCAAGGAGGAGACGGTGAGGATGCGTGTGGGCTTATTTAGGAGGCGTCCTCTCGGAGGACGACTAATGTGGTGGGTCACATCGATTGCAGGTATTGACCCACCCTTGCAGTCCAGGAATAAACCCCATTCCGTCATGGTGCATAATGCCTTAATATGTTCTAGGATTCAGCCTTCTGGTATTCTGTTGACGACTGTTGCATCCGGATCCATGAGTGATACTGGTCTGGAGTTTTCTTTCTTGTGGTATTTTTGTCTGATTTTGGTATGACGGTAAGATTTGACTAGAGATCTGAGATCTTCCTTAAAGGGACCATAAGAGGAACAGCTATGGCCAGTGGTGGACCTCTGGTGGTGCTACGGTCTGAGTGTGTTTTCTCAAATTCATATGCTGAAACCTGACCTCCAAGGTGATGAGAGGTGCTTAGGTCATCAGGTGAGTAAGACAAACTCCCTCATAAAAGAGGCTCGAGAGCATCCTCCCCTTTTTGACATATGAGTATACAAGGAGTCTTTGACCTAGAAGAGGGCTCTCGCCTGACTATGCTGGCACCCTGATCTCAGACTTCCAGCCTCTAGAATCATAAGCAATCAATTTCTGTTGTTTACAAGCCACCTAGTCTGTGCTATTTTGTTTCAGCAGCCCAAAGGGACCGACACCAGGAAAGAGTGACCTTGCCTCAGTGGCCTGGAGGAGAGGGAGGGGTGATCCTGATGAAGCCAGTAGATCTGGGGGCTGTTGTTGGAAGATGTTAGCAACTAGGGACCGGGGGCCAAGAGGGTCAGGAAAACCCGAGGAGAGAGAGGTTCATTGAGAACATCTGAAACCACAGCATATGAGGGAGGGAGATGTGGAAAAACAGAAGATCATTAGCCTGGAGACCAGAAGACTGGAGTGACGTTATTGTCATCAAGTGCGAGGCCCCTGCACCCAGCCCTGGCCTGCAGTCCTCCCAGCCCTCGTTTCTTTTCTCCACTTCACTGATTCTCTAACTTCACAGGGACCTCAGCTCTCACTGTTTTCTTCAGGTCTACCCTCACCCTCTAAGTTTTACTTCTTTTCTCCACTAGCCACTGCTTTGGTTATACATTCTCTCTCTTTAAAAAAGTGGCAGCTTTACTGAAATATAACTCACATATCTTACAAGGAGCACATTTAAAGTGTACAGTTCAGTGATATTTGGTATATCTGCAGTTGTACAACAATCACCATAATTTTAGAGCCTTTTCATCACCCCAGAAAGAAACCCTTTACCCATTAGTAGTCATTCCAACCTTTGTCATTTCCCAGAGCCAGGAAACCTCTAATTTACTTTCTGTCTATTGTATTTTCTGATTCTGGACATGTCATACCAATGGAATCATATAATGTGTGGTCTTTTGTGACTGGCTTCTTTTGTTTACAATATTTTTAAGGTTCATCCATTTTGTAGCATGTGAGAACTTCATTCCTGGTTAATATGGATGCACCATAATTGTTTATCCACTCACCAGCTGATAGACAGCTGGGTGGTTTCTGTTTTTTCTGGCTATTCTGAATAATGCTGCTATGAACAGGTGTGTTTTTAGTTGTCTTGGGTATAGGCCTGGGAGTAGAATTTCTGGGACCTTATTGCAACTATGTTTAACTTTGGGGGCACCACCAAACTGTTTTCTAAAGCTAACCATTCTCTTGACCTCAGCTGCCCCCATGACCTCCCAAGCTTGGATGAGCACAAAAGCCTGTCTCTGCACCCCACACCCAAGCAGCTGAAGATGGAGGAGGAGCCATGTGTAGCCAGGAGTCTGGTGCCTTCAACCTCAGCTAGGCCTCAAACACTGCCTGGAGCTCCTTTCATGTCTGCAGGCTCAGCTCCCTCCTCACTGCCCGCAGACACCCCCTTTCCCTTCCGTCCAGCTTCCTACTTCACAGGAAAAAGACTCCTTGGGGTAGAAGAGTGGAAGGGGGAGAATGGCTGCTTCATAACCGTCCACCTTCAACCACCCTTGATTGTGCTTCAACCCTGCAACTTCGTGCTGCTCAGAGGAGAAGCGTGCACTCAGGTGCCTGGGCACTGGATGGTGGTGAAGGCACTAACAATAGCAGCAGCAGCAGCAAATGTGCATGCACCAGCCCCTACACGCGTGGCGCCACTCAAGTGCTTTACACCTCATGTTCGTCTCACTCCAGCTCGATGAAGGAAGTGCTGGCATTGCCCTTGTCACTGAGGGTGTGGAAGTACAGACAACTTACATCACTGACCAGCTCACCCTCAGTCTGCCCCCCTCCACCCTCTTCATCCCACAAACTCCTCTGGGCATCTTCAACTTCTCCCCCACTGCTCTTGTGCTCATATTTAAGGCTTTCTCATTATAGACGCAGTCCCTTCACAGCCAAACCCCTGAAAAGGTCAGTTAGACTTAAGTCTACTTCACCTCCTTCCATTCGCTGAAGCCCCTAAAGTCTGTCTCCTTCAAAGAACTGTGAAAGCCATTTGTGATGTATTTCTTGACAGATCGAAGTAGTTTTTTCAATTCATCTCTAAAATTGGCTGTGGCATATGACACCGGTGACCACTCTATTTTTGAATCTGTAAGCACATAAGTCCCCAACCTGAGGTTTAGGAACGCCCAGAGAGTCCTTGGCTGGATTTCAGAGTGAACCTGTTGCCATGGTATCCCAAACAGTGCACCTGTGTGCATCTTTCTGGGGCAGAGCCACAGCTTTTCAGACTCTCAGAGCACCTGGGACCAAAACGACCTGAGCACAGAGCTCCACTCCCTGCCGCTGGAATACTTGGCTCTTCTCCTCCTCTCACCTTTTTTCCCTCTTCCTTTTCTTTCTTTCTTTTTTTTCCTGCCACGGGGCTTGTGGGATTTTTAGTTCCTCAACTAGGGATTGAACCTGGGCCTTCAGCAGTGAGCCAGCAGAGTCCCAGCCACTGGGCCTGCAGGGAATGCCCTCGCCGCTTCTCTAGAGGCCCTCTGTCAGGCTCCACTGTGGAAACTGCCTCTGTCTCCAGGGTCAAAACCTTGACCTTCCCTTCTCAAATGCCCTCCGTTTGATCTAGGACGTCCATCACACCCACCTGTTGACAACCCCCAGATCTGTGTCTCCAGCCCAGCCTTGGATAGCCACTTGCTACTGGGCATCTCCATGAAGCTGTGCACAGGCCCACCTCCAACATCAGCAGCTTCCAAATGAAGCTAATCATCTCTTCTTCCTTCCCACCCAACCTCACCTGAGGGGGAGGTTAATGACTTCCACACATTACCAAAGCCTTGACTTATTCCTCTCTCCCGTGTCCAACCTGGGTCACCAAGCTCTGTCAGCTCCCTCTCCTTAATATCTTTTGATAGATAAAGTTGTTAAAAAAAAAAAAAAGCCAGACACAAAAGACCACCTATGTAGCAGTCCATTTACATGGCGTGTCCTGAAAAGGCAAGTATGCCCAGAAGCAGGTCGGTGGCTGTCAGGGCTGGAGGAGGGGGAGTGGGGAGCAGCTGCTCAGAGGGATGGGGTTCCTTCTGGGGTGAAGAAAATATTTTGGAACTAGACAGAGTGGCGGACTGAATCATTCACTGCAAAATGGTTAATTCTGTGTGTATCTCATCTCAGTTAAAAGTCTCCTGGGTCAGTTCACCGCTCTCACTTCTCCATGACCTAATCAGCACCCACAGCAGCTTCCTGCTCCAACTCTCTGCCCCTGCGTGCTGCTAAAACCCTCTTCTGGGGCCTCGTTCTCCTCAAGTGAAGTCCAGCCCCACAGCCTGGCACTCAGGGTCCCTTGAGACCCAGCCCTGTCAGGCACATCCCTGCCTCATCTCCCTGCCACCCCATCTGGGGCCCACTGAACCATGTGGGACCCCTGGGGGCCCCACGCTCCCCTCCCCTGCCCACACATCTTTCCTTCACTGGAATCCCCTCCCTCCCTTCCTCCGGTAAGAAACCGCTGCAGATGCCCTCTGCCCTGACCTGGGCAGGGTCTGAGCCAGGCCTTTCACATCATCCTTTCATCATGCTGAGCTGTGGCCCTGTCTCACTCGTTTGCCCCCACCAGGTTATGAGCATGTCATGGGCAGAGTGGGTGTTCTGTCTGCTGTCTCCTGTGCCGTTAACACAGCAGGTGCTCAGACACTTGTGGGAGACTCACGGGCCAACCCACGCCTCTCTGGAGGGCTGGACATGGATAAGACTTGACCTGTGCTGTTCCAAAGGCAGCCTCTGGTTCTGTTTAAGGAAGCACTTCTGAAGGGCTGTGCCCAGGGTGAATGGCCACAGGGAGTCACTGCAGGAGAAAGCCCAGGAAGGTGGGGGGGAGGAGAGGTGACTTTCCAGCTCTCTGCACCAGATTCCGGGCCATTATGACAAAGGATTCCAAGTGAGTCTCTAAACTAAGGAAGGATTCTTCATGCCTCACCTGGAAACTAACACATAACACGGCCAAGATTCAACCCCCCAAGGACTTGAGGATCTCTCTCAAGTCGGGTGTTAAGCTGCTCTGATGTCTCTCATCAGCAGGGCCTGTGGTGTCCACACCCGGGCCTGACACTTGCCTTGGCTGGGCGGCTCTGGCTGACCAGGCCCCCCCTCTGAGGGATGGCAGCCACCTCTAGGATCCTCGGGACACCCTGCTGAAGTGCAGGATTCTGGTCTCCGCCCTGTACTATCCACATGTTTTCTCAACAGTAAAATATCCTACCAGCCGTGAAGGGCTGTTGCTAGAACCCAGGGAATATAATACATGGCTGTGTGATAAGTATGTATCTCGGAGGACCCCGGTGGGCTACCGTCCAGGGGGTCGCAAAGAGTCAGCCATGACTGAGCATCTTCACTCTCACTTCACTTATATGTAAGAATAATATACTGTATATGGACACATGATGGTAAATAACACTTTTCACATGTTACAGGTTGCTGCTATGATCTTTAAATATCATCTGTCAAAATATGTCCAGCCACAGTCCTCCCTGGGCTGCATTTTCTCGATTCTCCTTGCAGGGCTCTGGAGGGTCCCTGGTTGGGGGAGAAGGAGTTTCCCTCCTAAAGTGCAAGAGCCCTTCCTTGCTGCGTAACTCACTTCTCAGCAGGGAAAGGATTGGGCATGCAAAAGCATTCCCTGGCCACAGACTGCGGTCTCGACCTTTGCTGGGGCTCCCACCACAATCCCTGCCTAGGATGCCGCTTGGCACCCACTCTAACGCACCTCCAGGAACTGTCTGGAGGCCAGCCAGGAGGTGAAGACCCTCTCTGCTTCCCAAAGCATTTTCACACACGTGCACCTGCGACTTTCAGCCTTGAACTGCTGCCTCCGCGCAGCTTCCACTGCTCCTTGGCACCCTGAGTTCCTGCATTTCCTACAGCGCATCTCACGTCCTGGAGCTGCACCGGGACCCTGCCGAGCCTCTGCACGCCTCACTTCCTGGCTGTTTTCCCTGCCTGGGCCTGGGCCTTGCCCAGCGAGTCGGGGGTGAGGGAGGCGTGTGCGGCTCTCTCGCCACCATCGCTGGCATCCTGGTCACAGGCCCACTAACCCCTACACTGGATCTTTATTAGACAGCACATTTCAGCTCTCTGCAGTCCCGTCAAATCACCTGCCCGGCCTCGCACCAGAGTCGCCTCCTATAGGTCAAGGCTCTGCCCGCCCCCTCACCCCAGCACCACCCCTGTCGGCCCATCAGGCCGGAGCTGGTACCAAGTGGCATCTCCGGAGGACTCCTGCAGAGGGACCTGGGCCAAAGCTCCGGCGTCCCCTTCTCCCTCTGGCCCCAGCCCTGTCGGCCCTGCCACTGTTGGCGATTGTTCGGGGAGCGCTGGGCAGAAACAGTGGGCGATTCAGTGAGCAGGCCGTCTGAGCAACAAGGCCTGTGCTGTGCCTGAGCTATTCAGCGTGGGCAGAAGTGGGTAACCTTGGCTTGAGGGGTGCACACATTAACCCTTGGTGTCTGGGAGCAGCCTTAGCTCTGGGGGACTTTCTGCAACTGGCTCAGCCCCACCCCATTCTGGACCAGGTGGGAAAACGGGCTCCCTGCACTGTGGCCATGACCTCTCTCATCTAAACCATTCAGCCCTCAACTTGTCCTCCTGGAGGAGGTGGGCAGGAGAGAGCCCCGGAGTGTGGAGAGAAGGAGCTTGCATTTGGGCACACAGGGGTTCAGAGGCTCACAGGAACGCAACGTGTGATCAGGAGAGGAAAGCCCTCCTGAACCATCCTCAGCACCCTCTTCCACCTGTCCCCCCTACCTGGCTTCTGTCTGAGCCACTCACCATGGGCGAGCACTCTCCCAAGGCGGACTGCGCCAGGATGGGCAGGTTACCTGGGCAGGTGGTCAGACCTGGAGGCCCGAGGTGGGTGATGAACTGGGGAGGCAGGCTGGCAGCAGATGTCATGCCCACACAGTGCTGCCCTGAGACTCAGCCTCACAGGCTCCTCTCTGTCCCCTGCCTGCCTGGTGGCGCCTGGCAGCTACATCCTAGCCACGCGACCCTGACCTGCTTGCTTAACCCTCTTATCTCTAAAAAGGTGTAATGACAAGTCCCTTGCTTGTGGGCTGTTGGGAGTGTTAAATGACATGGTCCCTGGAAAGTCCCAGGCATGTGATGACTGCTCAGCAGAGGTTACTGGGGTGACTCCGAGTCAGGCTTCTGCTGATGGGCCTTTGCCCGGGAAACACTCTAGGTCACCTACGATCTGATCTTTGTTTCTAATCTTTCCCCTCCAGGTTCTAATCTCTGCTTTGTTCGTGTTTCAGCTCTGTTGTCCTACCTGGTGAAATGACTTCATTTAGTTTCCCGACAAACAACCCCAGGTCATACTTTTTGTATTCTTCGAGTCAATGGAAATCCCCTTCTTTATTGCTATACCACTTGATGAAGTGATTTAATTTAATGTGTGGCCGTTTATTTTATTTTTTTTTTTAGTTCCTCTTCTGGAGGGTGGGGAAGTCTGACCTTTCTTTTGGAAGAGTGTTTCTACAGATAGACCTCATTTTAAAATGCTTGTGATGTGGTTTAGGGTTCTAAGATCTCAGAAACTCAGGAGCAGGGAGAGCACCAAGGTCCCCCACCCCCAGGAGCCACGGGAACTGCAGAGCACGAAGACCAGACATCACCTGTGGCGAAGGGTGCCAAGAGCGGGACGTTGCCCTGGGCGAAGGCGCCGTAGTAGGACCAACTGAAGTAGAGGACCAGGGGGACCCAGACGATGGGGACGCTGTACCTGCAGGAAGACCATCAGGGTGAGCGAGACAGGCTCAGCAGCTTGAGACGGCCCAGCTTCCTAAGAGTCTCCTCTCCACTAGAGGGGGGCGAGAAGGTGCTAAAGCAGGTGCAAAGAGCTCATGGAGACCTGCGGTCAGGGGACACTGCTGCAGGGGTGGGGAAGAAGACAGCAGCTGAGTCTATCTCCCTCAAGTCTCCCAGTGACCGGAACGGAGCACGAGAAGAATCCCTGTGGCCACTGACAGGGCCGCTGTATAGGTGCTGACCTCTCGTGGCAGAGGAGGTAATTGCAGGCAAAATAGCCCCCCGAGGGCAGCAGAGGCTAAAAACGCCTCCTAGGAGTCAGGAACAGAACAGGCTGCTGCTGCCAAGTCGCTTCAGTGGTGTCCGACTCTGTGTGATCCCATATACGGCAGCCCACCAGGCTCCCCCATCCCTGGGATTCTCCAGGCAAGAACACCGAAGTGGGCTGCCATTTCCTTCTCCAATGTGTGAAAGTGAAAAGTGAAAGTGAAAGTGAAGTAGGGACATTCAAAGCAGTTTCTGGCTACATGTTGGGTTGCCACTCGGTGGAAAAAACCATGCACAGGAATAGATTATGTCCATGGCATGTTCCACTGTCTCCAAGAGCTTCAGTACAGCTCTGGGCTCCAGGGAGGGACCCTTCCCCTTTGCATCCGGCTGGCACCATCAGGAGAGGGGACAGCCCACCATGACCCCAGAGCAGGACTCACCAGACGGTCTTGCTGAGGGCCTCGACAAAATCTGAGTGGAACAGGCGGATGGGCCTGGATACCGGCTGGTGGACCCACTCATCGTACTTCTCTCCCAAGTGGCCGACCTGCCACAGGAGGGGCTTCTGCCAGTCCACCAGGTCCTTCAAGAGACAAAGCCAAGCGAACACTTGAGATTCACACCTCTTTGTTCTCCTGGTTACAGCATCCCATCCCCAGCTCCACCTCGACTCCCATGGTCCGTATGGAGCGACCCACCCTCCCTACTGCAGAGATCAGGAATCAACAGTTCGTCCCAACCCTTGGGCCACAGAAATGGGATCCAGGACAGGCCCATGGCCTAAGCTGGTGCAGTGAGCCATCGGACACCCTTTCCTCTTGCTGGGATGGCTAGGTTGGTGGGGCATGACCCTGGAGTTGCCAGGGGAGCCTGTCTGAGGACTAAGTCAACACAGAGGATGGTCCAGCCAGGAGCTGGAGACATCAAATTCTGTTGATGACATCTGAGTGCCCAGATTCAGCACTGTATGCCTGAAGCTCGAAGTCTTAACCAGGATTCTTTAAGTACAGGAATCAGTACATTCTGTAGGAGGAATCAAGGAGGCCCTTTCTCCTCCACCAAGGCCTTTCTTCTTAGCCGTGGCCTATGCAATTCATTCATTCAAACAATTGTTCATTCAGCACTTTGCTTGATATACGTGCCAGTTGCTGGGAAAAATAAACAACAACATAAAAGATCATCTTTGCTTTACATAGCTTAGTGCTGAAGCAGAGTTCAGACTCTAGAGTCAGGTGCCATCACTTCCTGTGTGACTCGGAGGAAATTACTTAACTTCTCTGAGCCTCAGTTTCCCTAGCTACCAAATGGAAGTAATAATAATAATAGCACTTGCATAAAGTACTCAGCAAGGTGAGACAAGCCAGGCAAGATAATTTAATGGTGATGTAGGCAGGCTGAGGTTCAGAGGCGAATGATTGGTACAAATGTCTGAGTCTAGGGTGGGAGAGGAGGGCTTTGCACAGAAACTGGGGTTGGGGTTGGGGCTCATACAGTAGGGAAGACTTAGCAAGAGGGAGAGGGAAATGGAGATGGGCAGGGAACATGGGCATCAAGGTGAAGTTGAGAATGACTGGGCCCGTTTGGTTCCTTGACTTTGATCTGTGGGGCAGTAGAAAGAAATCTGCTGAGGGCTTTAGATGACAGAACACCCAGTATCAGGCCCAGGGGTTGTCACTTCATCCTCCAGGTCAGCTGTCCCCAAGGTGAGGATGGATATGTACCCCAGAGGTACTCACAGGCTGATTCCCAGGGGTGGGGAGAAAATATTAGAGACTGCTTTTGATATATTTCTCTCATATATAAACCATATTTGAATGCTTTCTAATGTACATAATACAAGAATACATAAGTTCATGCAAATAACTTGTGGATAATTAAAATGGACATATAATGAAGAATATGCTCAAAATGTTTTACTTATACGGACGCAAGATCAAAAAAGTATGGAGGTCACAGCTCTGGGCAATGAGCAGCCCTTGAAGATTTCTGATGAGTCAGTGTAGTGAAGATTAATCTAGAACAAAATCAGTAAAAAAAAAAAAACAAAAAACAAAAAAACCTTGTAATCAGGCAACCCCCTTCAAAGCCCGACCCTGCCGTTTATCAGCCGTGGGATCCTGGGCAAGCGTCTACCTCTCAGAACCTCTTGGCTTGCTTTTGTCTGGGAAGCCAGGTGTGCCTGGACCCCCCACACATGATAGGAGAGAGGGGTCCATGCATCCCATGTCTGGTGCACAGGGGGTTCAGTGAACCTCCAGTGCAGGGAGTCAGGCTGCCCCCGCGAGTGAGAAGGGAGGCGGTGTCCGGAAAGGAGCGGAGAGAGCGGATGTGGATACGTGTGGAGGACGACCAGGGAAGACAGGGAGGAAGTACCGACTGGAATCCACAAGCCTACCTTCCCACAGCCCCAGCTGGAACCTGCTCCCTGCACAGGCCTCCACACCACAACTGGCCCGGGCCCAGCAAGGGTCCCCGCCCTGCCATGACAGCCTTGGAGCAGGGGCAGAGGGTCTCAGGGCAAGTGGGGGAGGTCCCCAAGCATTCTCTGTGTGCCTGAGCCTGGGGGACAGGCCCAAAGATGCTGTGGTTCTGGCCACGTGATCCTGGCAGGTCCCAGGTGCTGACGGCCTTCACGCCTCTCAGGCTGGAAGATGACCCAGGGCAGCCCAGAGCCATCCCACGCAGCACCAGTTACACCAGGCGACCGTCCAAACCCTGCCAGCTGTGACACTCCTCCTGGCCCCAGTCTCACGCCTCCTTGACTTCATGCCTTGGTTCTAGCAAACAGATCACTGGGCGCAGGCTGACTCATTCCTGTCATTCCTCTGCCTCTTGTCAGACACACACACACACACACACATTCTGTGTCTCCCTTACACATACCAGCAGAGAACTGGAGGAACCAGCTAGTGGCCTGTGTTTACATCTTATCTTGCAACAGACCACAGAACCCCACCTCAGAGCAGCCAGGTCAGGAGCACAGCAAGAGCGCGAGGCTTTGTCCCTGTTGGGCCAACACCGAGGGTGGAGAGTCACAGTGCCCTGGTTATGTGCTGAGCGTGGCTCTGGGTCCTTCACGGGAGCTCAGCCCTCTGATCCCCACCAGACCCCTAACCAGGCAGGTGCGGTATCATTGCTGTCATGCAGATGGGGAAATGGGAGCGGAGTAACTTGCCAAAGACCGCTCAGTGAAGACATTTTGATGAATTGGCCCCTTTATCACTGGGAAATACAGGCTCTGGTAGGACTTCTTGTCCTGGGTCTGTTTCATCTGACTCTCGTAGAAGCTTCCTCATGCTTACTGTCTGCATGATCTACCTTGCCCACCCTTTCCCTTTCACCTTGCTCACATCTCACATTTGAAGTGCATCCTTTGCAGACAGTGTATAGTCGAGTCTGACTTTTCCATCCAGTCACTCTCTGCATTTTTATCTTTAATTTTTTTTGGTCCTGCTGCACGGCATGTGGGATCTTAGTTCCCTGACCAGGGATGGAACCCGCACCCGTCGGACTGTAAGTGGGGAGTCTTAACCTCTGGACCACCAGGGAAGCCCCCACTCTAACTGGAGTATTCAGTCCATTTACCTCTAATGTTGTCTTGCTATTGCTCTGTTCTTCACTTCTTGACTTGTTTGCATTGATCAAGTATTAAAAATATTCTAGATTATCTGCTCATCTTAGGATGCCTTTTTTTTTTTTTTTTGTATTTTTCTTAGTTGCTACCACCTATCTTGAGTGAAACTATTGCTTTTTATGTGTTCCACTTTTGCATACACACAACACTTAATTCAGACTCAGCTACCTTAGACAAGAAAATTTCCAGCTGTGGCACAGCACTGCAAACACGTAGACCTCTTTCTTAGCCAAGAAGCAGTTTGGGCAAAATTTTCCTGTTTTCCCTTTATTTTGTGAAGCACGCAGAAAACAGCATGGGATTTGTGAGCTTAAATCAGCTGAGACCCAGGGAGAAACATCTGGGTGAGCAAAAAGCAGGGATTCCAGCCCAAACGGGAAGGAAAGCGACCCTTCCACCTTAAGCATAGAAGTTGAGGTTGGCTGACTTCCTCCCCACTTTGAGAACAAGGACTCTGAGGCCCAGAGGGGTTAGGTGACTCTTGAGATGGGGCTGGTTGGTCCATAGCAGGAGCCTCCCTTCCCGCCTCCCCCAGCCCTTAGCATCCTCCACAAAATCTCCTAAGAGACGTAAGTGTGTCTTCTCAGTTCTCTTCCAGTCCTGCTCACTGGGGCTTCCCAGGTGGCGCTTACGGTAAAGAACCTGCCTGCCAATGCAGGAGACATAAGAGACACAGGTTCGATCCCTGGGATGGGAAGATCCCCTGGAGGAGGGCATGGCAACCCACTCCAGTATTTTTGCCTGGAGGGTCCCAGGGACAGAGGAGCCTGGTGGGCTACAGTCCGTGGGGTCGGGAAGAGTCAGATACGACAGAGCACTCGTCAGCAGCGGCAGCGTCCTGCTCACTGGCGAGCGTCTGAGGTGGGTGTTGGAATACACTCAACACCCCTCACTCGCTGGTCATTTCCAACATGCAACTAGCCCAGAAGCGACGACAGCAAGACACGAAAGAGATGACCGCTCGGGCCCAGTGAGGTGGGAAGGGACTCCGGATAAATGTCACTTCCTGCTCTACCTGGCCAGGACAGCTTGGCCACTTCACACACACACACACGCACGTGCACACACATGCGCGCACATGCACACGCGAACACACACACACACAGACACACACACACACACAGACACACACAGACACACACAGACACACACACACACACACACACACACACACACACACACACACACACACACGGCTCTCCCTCCAGAGCTGGACCTGCTCCTGGCCCCTTCCCACCCCCTACTTCCTGAGGTTCAGGGGGCACAGGGAAGGTGTCGGCAAAAGTCTCCCGGCCTCAGAAGAAGGTTGGGTGAGGGACAGGAGGGGGAACCAGCCCAGGAGTGTGGGGGCTTCCATTGCCCCCCTCACAATAGCAAATCCTTCTTCTACAGCAGTGGAACCGGACGGTCGGAGAGCGTGGCTGACCGACTCAGTGCAGCCAGCTAAAGCCAGACCACACAGATGAGGGTGAGGACCCGCCCAGACACAGCTCTGGAGTGCGCTTGTTGGGGGACATGTGTTGGGGGGAGAGGCTGGGATGAACGCAGAGACCTGGGGCCACAGGCCAACCCACAGGAGGCGCACAGTAGTCAGGGTGAGCTGGCCCTGCATCCCCCTCCCTGCCCCACCAGGAGGCAGAGGGCGGGAGGCTCCCGGCTATGCCAGGAATGCAGCTGCGGCAGTGCTGGCAGGGGAACAGGGCAGCCGGCCGCCCGGAGGGCGGGTGGAAGGGTGCTGCCAGGGTGTGCAGGGGGCCTCTCTTCTGGCCTCACCCGCTCCCCAGGGGCCCCTCATCCCGGGCAGCACGGGCCGGGTAGCAGAGACTTCTTTCGGGGCAGTCCCCGCTCAGGAGTGGGAACTGCTCGTCCCAGGGCAAGGCGAGGCACAAACGGGGTGGGGGTGGGGGTGAGGGGAGCGCCGAGGGGTCGGCAGCTCTGCGTCAGCAGCT